TTGGAATTTATAGTAGGTGGTACACACTTCATTTTTTTGACCCGTTAATTTCTATACTATTTCATACATGTAGGTTATGGTAGTTTCTGAATTGCCTCATTTTTGTTCTGCTTTGAAAAGCACATACCCTTGAAAAAGAATGACCGTATTAAAGATGCTTAGTCACTTGACCAGCAGCATTCTAATACTTCCTTTTGCCCTTTCTATTGATACAGCCTTGTGATTAGTCTTAAGGGAGAAAGCTTGTCCCCATGCCATGGCTACATTGCCTCTTATATATTAGCCAAAAGGAACTGCTATTTAAATGTTTCTTCTTTTTGTCTCACCTGACAGTATTTTAATTACCTGTATACCTACAAAATGCCTGGGGATATTAAGAACTGGGTGGATGCTCATATGAATTGTGAAGACATTGCCATGAATTTCCTGGTGGCTAACGTCACAGGGAAAGCAGTCATCAAGGTAGGGGCCCTGCCACTCACTTGCTTTGTGATTTGGGGCAAGTTTCTACTCTGTGATCTTGAGAAGCTCTTGTAACCATAAATGAAGTATTGAACTAGATGAACTTTAAGCTCCCTTTTAGTTTAATATTCTGCGATTGATGCTGTCATATTAGAAAATTGAAGCTAGACTTTGCCAATTTAAACAGTTTTCTTTTTTTACACAGTTTCTTTAGTTACAGTTTTTAACCTGCAGCATCAGAAATAAAAGCTACAATGATCAATCTATAAATCATGTTTTAAGAAAAAATGTAATTTTATTCTCAAAGCTGATTTGGAATCCAGTTCTGTTAGCTAAAGGATGCAGTTTACATCTTTCTTAAGGTAGCAGGAGTTTTTTGTTTTTTTTTTAATATATGTTGAGAAGGTAGTATACCTTGTATAATTATATAACTACAGTTGTCCTAAAACATTATTTTTAAATATCAATTACCAGTTTTTAAAAGTATATTTTAAAAGCTGAGACTATATAAAAATCCTATGGGAATTATTTATATCTGTAAAAGATCTCAGTAAGATCCCTAGATATGTAAAGAAAGTATGCTTCTTTATATGGGTAGAATTATCTTGACCTTTTTTTCTTATAGATTAGAATTCCATGTGTAAAAATGGGCAATTCCAGATTCCTATATGAATCTGCCTAGAAAGGCTAGATTCCTAGGGAGTTTATGCTGGAAGCGTGATATGGCATTCCCCACTGATTGCTCATGCTATTAATTGATGAGAGAAGCCAGATTGACTAAGGGAAGAGGAAAAACCACTATCTGTGCCCACCAAACTTGCCCCAATCTCCACCCTATCCCCCAGCTCTCTAAATAACTCAGTGAACAGCTGACTGCAAGGAAAATTAAAGGATGTAAATTGTGAGGGTTGTTTTTAAGGAACCCCACCCCCCCAAATCCCAAATTTGTTTTTCAACATGTCTTTAGCTGTGGCTATGTACCCTGGACAGTAATTCCCAGTGTCTCTTTGCTTCTCAGCCTGGCCTTAGTTATCTGGCTTTCTTTCTCTCCCATCCCTTCCCTGTTAGGATAACAGCCTCCCCTGAGTTTGCTAGAGAGATCACTAGACATTGAGGGCTTGGGAGGGTGGTGGGAGTCAGGGAAAAGGATTCAGAGGAACAGCTGGATTTTTTCCTGACTCAAGGGAATTGCAGAATAAGCTGGCATCTTCAAGAGCATGGTGCTGCGCATAGCACTTGCCATTAGCTGGAAGGAGGAGAAAGAGTGCCTGTTGGAACTGAGGTTACGGTGAAAGTTATGGGAAGCTGTATTTCATCGCCCTTATGGCTGCAAGAACAAATGGTGTTTATACAAGGACCTTGGCAGTGAGAAAACAGTCATTAAGCAGGAATTAAGGAGCTTGTCATCACCACTTCTTTCCAGTTACAGAAGGCAAAACCCCTCCAAGCCTTTTTTATTGGGCCCTTGTGAGTTCTGCCGTTGGCTGAGCCAGACAGAATTGAATGGAGGAATGGCGAGGGGTGTGTGTGTGTGTGTGTGTGTGTATACACACGTGTGTGTAACATCTCAGCTTACAGCACAAGCATCCAGGGTGGTGTCACAGCATGATTTTATTGTCCTTGGCACTGACATCCAGGTATATTTTTGTCTTCCTCTGGCAGGTAACTCCGCGAAAGAAATTCAAGTGTCCTGAGTGCACAGCCATTGATGGGCTTTCGCTAGACCAGACACACATGGTGGAGAGGTGGGTGAGCCTCCAGCTAAAAGTTCGCCCTAGCCTCTGATCTCCATTTCCTGTCATGGGCCTGTTTATGGGACTTTGTTGGAGATATAAGGACAGCAGCTGGCAGCCATAGTCACCTCCATGTGCACTGTGGGAATTGGGTTAGTTCAAGCCCAGGTCACCCAAAGAATTAATTTGGAATGCTACTCACTCAATTTGTAATGGCTGGAAGGGTCTTAAAAATATAGCTGGCCTTAAGCTCCAGAAGCCAGATCTCTGTGTGGACTAAGCAGTTAACCATCTACAGTCATTTGAGTGGAAGCTAGTTAATTCCAAGGAAATACTGGATT